AATACACATTTTCATTAATCCATCCATGATATTTTTTTAAAAATTATATAATAAACATGATACATAACATAAAAAGATGATAAATACACCCCACAATAGAATAAATAAACATAAATATGAGATGTGGTAACCAGATAACTTGTACAAGTGATGCCAAGAATAACATTTTTTCTAATCTAGCATAAGAGAAAATGTGTTACTGGGGGTAACTGTAGAAAATTATTTCTTTTGTATGTATGTAAGTTTATTCAGGTATACACAAATACAGTTACATAGATTATCATATATAACAGCATATGTGTAGAGATCCCAGGATAACCCAAAAAAGTCAGAGTGATTTATTTCCATTGCCTTCACTCAGAGCTTCATTTCTTCTCAAAATGATGTTACATGAGAATGGGCGTGTTCTTCTTTATTTATTTTACCGTATCAATGTAGAGACAACTTGTACACAGTGTAACTTGTACACAAACCAGACGTGTACACTTGGTTTACAAAGCTTACCTTCGCCTGGTTTGTTTACATAACTCTGCGCCTGTCCTCTCTCATGCACTCATTCTTTCTCTCTCTCATTTATTCGTTTATCTCATTTACTTACTCCTGACCCTACATTAAGACTACAAATATTTTAAGGTAAGTAATGAGTGAATGTTTATATAAAATTTATCGCTCGGGGATCTTAAATATAGAATATTTTGGGGGTGGGTTGGCCGGGTATGGTCCCCCGGCTGACTACCAAAATCCACCTTGATTTTTTAAAATAAATACTACTCATCTCACCCTAATTAAACTACAAATTTTTAAAAGGTAAGTAAGAGTGCACTAGTGGTATTGTACTTTTTTATTGTTTTTTATCCTATTCAATGCTAACTTAATACAGGGACCCCGCATATGAACCCCTTTGCTAGCGAACAATCCGCATAGCGAACGCTTTGTTCGCTAAAATTTTGCCCCATAGTGGAAAAAAAACCCGCTCGCAAATTTTGTCTGAGCCCGGTCCAATGGGGCCCTCAGCCAGCCTCACATGTGCCGCCCGCCCATTGTTTTCCAGCTACCTCCGCGGTAACATTCAACATACACCGGAATATTTGTATTATTACAGGTTTTCGGTGCTTTTTGTGGAAAATAAGTGACCAGGGGGGCCCCAAGAAACTTCTTTTGCCCCCCCTACCCCAAAGGGAGAAAAAACCCTTGAAATTAAAGAAAGAATCATTGATAAGTAAAAAAGTGGAGTACGTATCACGACCGGGCGGGTTGTAAAAAAGAAACCAAATAAACCATCGCTTCTTTGTGGGCAAGAAAAGGGAATCAAGGGAAACTGTTTTTTGCCCAAAAGGTTTTTAAAGTGTTTTTTGAAACAAAAATCCAAGTATGGAAGATGTTGAGAGACTTTATTGGGGTAAAAAATGAAAAACAGCTAGCAGGAGATAGCGCCTCAAGGGTCATATTTTAAAAGGGTAGAAATTGCATGAGATTTAATTAAAAAAAAAGCCTGAACTAGTGATATGTGAGTGGGAATTTAAGGGCCCGCAAAGGTTGGTTTTTAGAGTTTAAGAAGCTTTGTGGCATCCATATTTGGGTACGGCATGGTAGGGGCCCCGTTCGGACCCCAAAGCGGCTAAAAATATGGCATGAATTCAAGGAGTACAAGAAACTGAAGGGCTGGAAAACCCGAACAAGTTTTAATTGTGATGAAACAGGCCTGTTCTGGAAGAAAATGCCAAGCAGGACCTACATTACTCAGGGGGAAAAAGGGCACTCCCAGGACATAAGCCTATGAAGACGGCTTACTTTGTTGATGTGTGCCAAGCTAGTTTTGATTGCAAAGTTAGCCTTTATTAGTGTATCACTCTGAAACTCCCAGAGCGTTCAGGCAAAAGAATGTCCTCAAGGATAATTTGTGTTGCTGGGGAGGGCAAACAGTAAGGCATGGTCACTAGGGAATTTTTCTATAACTGGTTACACCATGCATTTGCCCCCAATGTGAAAGATTCCCTAACTGAAAAGAAATTAGACCTTAAGTGCCTCTGGTGTTAGACAATGCCCCTGGTAAACCTACAGACGTGGCAGAGCGACTTTATGGGACATGAGCTTCATTAAGGTGAATTTTTTTGCCTCCTAATACACTCCTCTCCTGCACCCATGGACCAGCAGGTCATTTCCAACTTCAAAAAAACTGTACACAAAAGCTCTGTTTCAAAATTTGCTTTGAAGTGACCACAGACACGGGAAATTGACTCTAAAAGAGTTTTGGAAGGATCACTTTAATATCCCTCAGTTGTGTAAACCTTATAGGTAAGGCTTGGGAGGGAGTGACTAAGAGAACCTTGAACTCTGCTTGGAAGAAACTTTGCCAGAATGTGTAGACAAAGGGATTTTTGAAGGGTTTGAGGCAAACCCCTGAGAGGAGTAGTATACCAGTTGAGGAATCAATTGTGGGAAATTTGGGGGAAATCCTTGGGGGTTTGGGGGTTAGTGGGGAGGATGTGGAAGAGTTGGTGGAGGAGGACAATTTAAGAACTAACCACTGATGAGCTGATAGAAACAACTTCAAGAGCAAGAGGCCAGACCTGGGGAAACTGGTTCCCAAAAGGGGGGGAGAGAGAAATTGAAGGAATTGCCTACTTCAAAGATTAAGGGAAATGTGTGCAAAATGGCTTTAAGTGCAAACCTTTTTTTATGAAATCACCCTCACACAGCTATTGCAAGCCGTGCTGGTGACTGTTACAATGACACTGTTGTGAACCACTTTAGACAAATCATAAAGGAACGAGAGGTACAGGCCACTATGGACAGATATGTTGTGCGAAAGAAGTCCAGTGACTCTGAAGCTGGTCCTAGTGGCATTAAAAGAAGAAGGGAAGTAACCCCAGAAAAGGACTTGCCTCCTCAAGTCTTAATGGAAGGGGATTCCCCTTCTAAACACTAACACTCTCTCTCCCCTCCTCCCATCCCATCAATCATCACCAGATCTTCAATAAAAGTAAGTGTCATGTAATTGTGCATGCCTTTTTCAGTTTGTGTGTACTAAAATTAACATTTTTTTGTGGTAAAAAAATTTTTTTTTCATACTTTTGGGTGTCTTGCACGGATTAATTTTATTTCCATTATTTCTTATGGGGAAAATTAATTCGCATAGCGAACATTTCGCATAACGACCAGCCCTCTTGCACGGATTAAGTTCGCTATGCGGGGGTCCACTGTATATGTTAGTGTAAACTTGTTATTTAGTATTTGTATGTATTTATAAGGTGAAAAAAAAGGGTGTTCCACTTTACGGCGATTTCCGCTTTATGGCGGTAGCCTGGAACCTAACCTGCAGTATAAGTGGGGCCCTACTGTATATATACGTCAAACACGGTACCTCGTAAGACGTATATATACGACCAAAACAGTCAAAGGGTTAATGGCTTTCCATAATTAGAAATAAAAATATTAGCTAGACAGATGTTGAAATCAGTGGACAAAATGAAAAAAAAAAATACTATAGATTTTGTCTGTAGTGATAGTGTCCTGTTGTCTTCTGAATCATTGGACCAAGTCCGATGACTCCAACATTTGTCTAGTATGGGGCACAGCTGCCACGTCTAGGACCTGACTGTTTTCATTGTTCCCTGAGCCAAAGGCTGCCTGTGCCAGTTTATTGTTAGTGCTCACTCTCACACACACTTGTCATTCAGTCTCCAGTTTTTTCCTGGATATATAGCATTTTGTGTGACTATTAACATTAAGTAAAGTGAAAGAAACAATGGCTCCTAAAGCAAGTGGTGGTGGCAAGAGGAAATATGCGGCTCTCAGTGTTAAGCAGAAACTTGAACTAATAAAGAAAGTTGAGTCTGGCATTTTAGTGGCACAGGAATGTGAGAAATATGGTGTTAAGAAACAAAGTCTGATATCTGTAGAAGCAAGGACAAATTTACACACTGTGAACGTGCATGTTAGTAGAGCATTACAACTGCTTTGACAGAATAAAACTTATTCTAAGTCACCACTATTGATTACAGCAGTTTACACCTTATCTCTCCATCACACAAATGCAAATAAAATTGCTGTAAATTTCACACAGTACTATAAAACTACTATTTAGTTTAGTATTTGACTGTAGATTTACAGGTTACAATACTCTTATTTGGAAAAGAATTCCAAATTTTAGGGTCCTTTATTTGCATGGAGTTTGTGAAAAGGTCAAGTCGAATATAGGGTATATCGAAAAGATACTTATTTCTTACATTGTGTTTGTGTTACGTTGCAGCTCTCCAGGAAGAATCAAAGCACTAGGTTGAGGTTTGTTCTGAGTGTCCTGTATGTATAGAGTGTATACTAGTAAGAGTGGATGCATTTTATGCTCTGTAAGTTGGAACTTTTGAATAGAGGGGATGTGTTGTCAGAACCCTGAATGGGTGTTAGGTTATATGCTGTTGTAGATCTCCAAGCACAAATACCCTGAGTGAGGTAAGGATAGCTTAGAGAGTAGTACAGAGTGACTAATGTTGACTGGGGAATAAATTAGCATATTTTTGATTGAATGCCTGCAGTCTGGAAATTTCCTTAAATATTTGTTGGATGTAAATGTTGAATTTCAAGTTGCAATTAAGGTGTATCCCTAAGAATTTTCCCTTGTCTTTCTATGTGAGAATTATTTTTATTGAAATGGGTATTTTTAACTTGATTCCCAAACATCATGCAGAAGGCCTCAGTAAGTTTATCAGTTGTCATCCATGTTGAAATCTTTATGAGTTCCTTGTTCATTATGTGGTTGAGAACAATAAGAAATGGATTAGATATGATAAATTTGTCATTTGCAAAAGGACTAGTTCAAGTTTCTGGGAGGCATTTGGTAGGTCATTTATGCAGATGAGGATGGGACAAGGATGTTTCCGTTAGGCACTCCTGTGTTGACAGTTTGTGTTAACAAGATAGTATTGATTATCACATGTTGATGTCTGTCAGTGAGGTAGGACTTGATATAAGTAAGAGCATGCCTCTGATACCATAATGCTCTAGTTTCAGCAGCTGTTATATGAAGTCTGTGATTTTTAATAAACCTAGTCATAATTAAAAGCTACTTAATTTTTAATTTGATTTTACTTGCAGGACAACAATAGAATAAACAAGATGTGGAGTTTTGAAGGGGACTATCGTCGGAAACCACAGCAGAGGTTGGGCGGTGCCAGCAAAACAAAGAATTTAGAGCGCTCAGAGCTTCTTAATCAACTTAAATCTGATAGAGAAGAACGAGAGGTGAGTCAGTACAAGTAATACAGTCATAAACACTTCAGGCATAGTTGTTATCCATCACATTTTGAGAATTTTACCAATAGTAATTGTGTCCAGGCCACTTCAAAGCAGAAAATTCTATGAAGTCTGTTAACAAAAACGTTAGCTTTAACCCTTGGAGGGTCGACAGGCCTTCTCCGAGACTCGTTCTCAGGGTCGGCCAAATTTAAAAAAAAATAATTTTTTCTTATGAAAAGATAGAGAATCTTTTCCCGATCATAATGACACCAAAAGTATGAAATTTGATGGAAAACTTACGGAATTATGCTCTTGCAAAGTTAGCGGTCTCGGCGATTTTGCCCATATTGAGCCCCATTTTCAGCCAATTCCACTGTACTAGTCGACAAAAAACATGAATATTTCGCTAGAACTCCATTTTTTCTATCGAATGAGTGCAAGAAACCACCCATTTACCATTTTCAACTATCCAGTACAGTGGTCATAATTTAGCAATTTTGCCAATTTCACACAATTTTCAAAAGATGCCAATTTCCGAATAGGGCCCAGAATAAACAAGAAAGACATTCCTGGCACTAAAATGACATTTCCCCTGTTCATTAGTCACATCTCAAGGCCCCTCTTACATTCTTTTGCTTTCCACTTAGAATTTTTATTCTCACAAAAAATAGAAGATTTACTGTTATGCAGACTACTGCATTAGTGTAAAAAATGGTATAAATAATATTGGCGCACTTATGAAAGAATATTAGACTTACCAGTTGACGTGTATTGGACGCTTGGCATGATTTGTTTACTTTTGAACTTTGGTAAAAATCGAACATGTCTGCTACTTTGAGCTCAATTTCAAGGTACTTTTCATTGTAAAACCAGTCAAAATCATCTCAATTTCTGTAATATGTCTTCCATTCTATAAAATGAGACCAGGAAAACTAGAATACAACAATAAATACCATACGAAAATACAGTGCAAAGTCTCTGTTTTATTCCCAGAAAACGGTCTAAGTTTTTTTTTCTCATTATGCACTGTGTGCTGCAGGATTTTTTTTATATTGTGCACACTGACCACATAGACCCATTCTCCCACTAGATTTGAGGGCACTAGAATTTAGGCGTACGAGTACGTCAAAAACCCTGGGTCGTAAGCCGTACTAGTACGGCCGAAACCCTCAAAGGGTTAAAAACAAAAGGCTGTGCCAATGATACAGTGAAGGTGTTTCTCTTTCTGGTAATGTTTTGATGAAAATGGCACAGTATTTCCAGCAAGAAGTGGATTATAATTCCAGTCTACTATAGTGGACCCTCGGGTAACGGAGGCATCGGCTAATGCCAAAATCGGATAGCGGCACATTTTTGTATCAAAATATTGGCTCGGCTAACGCCCAAGAACTTGGTTAAGGGCATTCGTCCCGAACATGTCCGCATGGCCTGAGCCCATGTAAAGCCAGTGTTAAATTAAAATTTAAATATTTCCTATTTATAAATTTCATACATTGTTTAAGTGTGAATAGTGGTGGTGGGTTCTGCAGCTGCCTCCACCACCACTAATATATACGGCTTCTCTCAGTGGCCCTTATAAACCCAACAACAGCACCACCACTACTTACTCCTCACATACAATATGACATATTTTATTCATCCTAGAGTATATATCATGTTTCTCTGTTACGAATATCATTTATTATGCCATATTAGATGAATTGTGATAGATAAATAAGCCGTAGAGATGATATTAGCGTCATGTTGAAGCATAAACTCGTTTTTTCCCAAAAAAACTCTCCTTTTCTTCCTACCTGTTTTCATTACCAAAAGAGTCATTAACCCTTTGAGGGTCCGTCCCGTAGATCTACGGCTTTATGTTCAGGGTCCAAACCGTAGAGCTACGTCATGAGCTCAGCTCACTCTGATAAACTGTGAGTGGTACATTTGGGCCTAGATATGAGAGAATACATCTATGTGGTATGTGTGCACCACATAAAATAGATCCTGCAGCACGCTGTGTATAATGAGAGAAAAAAACTGAAATCATGATTTTTCGATTAAAACAGCGACTTTGCAGTGTTTTTTTTGTATGTTTTTTATAGTTCTATTTGCGTTTTCTTGGTCTCGTTTGATAGAATGGAAGACATATTTCAGAAATAGAGATAATTTTGATTGGTTTTAGCACTGGAAATGGCCTGAAACTGAGCTCAAAGTAGCAGAATTTTAAAATTTTTTGCCGATATTAAAGAGTAAACAAAAAAACCTCACACGTCCTAATACACGCCACTGGTGGGTCTAATATGCTTTCACAAATATGGTGATGATATTATGAAATTATTACAGTTTTTGCATAACAGTAAATCTTCTTTTTTTTTGGTGTGAATAAAAATTCATTATGTGAATAAAAAATCAAAAGGGAAATTTATTTGTAAAGCCTCAAAACGTAACTAATAAAACAGAGGAAATGTTAGTTTAGTTCAAGGAATACCTACATTGTTTATTCTGGACCCTATTTTGAAATTGGAATATTTTGAACTTTGTGTTAAATTGGCCAAATTAACAATTTCCGATCACTTTAATTTGTAGTTGAAACAGTTGACTTGGCGTTTTCTTGTGCTCAATCGATAGAATAGAAGCAATACTAGTGAAATAGCTAAGAATTTGGTTGACTGGAATAATGTAATTGGCCTAAAATGGGAGTCAAAGTTGGCAAAATCGCCGATTTGTAAATATCGCTGACACATCAAAATTCGCGAGAGCATAATTTCGTCAATTTTCCATCAAATTTCGTACTTTTTGTTTTATTACCTTCACAAAAAGATTCTCTACCATTTCATAAGAAAAAATAACTTTTTTTTTTTTAAATTCTTGAGTCTGGGGCACCACTTCAGATTTGGGCCTTGGACCCTGAAGGGGTTAAAGGTAAGTGTGATGTTAAATGTTCATTTATCCATTTTATTAGTGCTTTATATTTATTTGTCATTGTTTTCTGTATGTAAATCTATATTTAATCTTAAAAAAAAATATTTTTTGTTAATACTTTTGGCTGTCTGAAACGGATTAATTGGATTTCCATTATTTCTTATGGGGAAAACTAATTCGGCTGAAGGCAAAATCGGTTCAAGGCAAGCTCTCTGGAACGGATTAATGCCGTTACCCAAGGGTCCACTGTACTCTATACTGGTTTATAATTCCAGTCTACTACTCTATACAATAGAAAAGAAAGCAAGAATTACATTACCAAAACTTAATAAATATACTGTAATGTGGTTCAGTAGATAGGCAGAATGGAATACAAGACATGATGTGTGTCAGATCTGCTCAGAACTTGTTTTTCAATGGCCACGGTGCATGATAGGAAAAACAAAAGTGACCGTGTGTATAGTTTAAAAGTAGTATAGTGGAACCCCGGATTTTGCACGCACCTGATATTACACTTTTCGGATTTCAGACACTTTTTTGTGAGAAATTTTGCTTCAAATTTTGGACCTTGTCCTGGGAATCGCATATATCATACATGTACCCCCCCCCCCAAGGGAACACCGTCAGTCTGGCTCTGTCGCTGCTTGAGTGAGCACTCATCTGAAACATTTCGCAATTTTTGTGCTTGTTTATTGATTGTGACTGTGAAATAAGTGACCATGGGCTCAAAGAAAGTTCCAGGTACCAGCCTTTTGGTAAAGAAAGTGAGAAACATGATAGAATTAAAGAAAGTAGAAAAATATGAAAGTGGCGTATGTTTAGCCGAGCTTGCCAGGATGTATGGGAAGTCGAAATCAACAATCTTTTCCATCCTGGCAAAGAAAGTAGAAATAAAAAAAGTTGAAGTTGCAGAAGGGGTGAATATGTTATTGAAACAGAGGTCACAAGTAGTCAAAGATGCGGAGAAGTTGTTGTTGGTATGGATCAGCGAAAAGCAATTAGCGGGAGATAGTGTTCTGGAGTCGATCATTTGTGAAACGGCAAGGCAGTTGCATGCGGATCTCGTAAAGAAAATGCCTGGAGCGAGTGCTGCTGTAAGTGAATTTAAGGCCAGCAGAGGCTGGTTCGAAAGATTCAAAAGGCGTATTGGCATACACAGTGTTGTAAGGCATTCCATTGTTCCAGTCGACCAAACTCATAGCTACTTCTTTAGAACTCCATTTTTTCTATCGATTGAGTACAAGAAACCACCCATTACCGATTTCAACTACCCAATAACGTGGTCAGAAATTTGCAATTTGGCCAATTTCATGAAAATTAAAAAATGTGACAATTTCAAAATAAGGTCCAGAATGAACAATACAGACATTCCTGGCTCTAAAATAACATTTTCTTTGTTCATCACTCATGTCTTCAGGCCCCTCTGATTTTACTCTTGCTTTCTATTTTGAATTTTTATTCAAACAAAAAATAGAAGATTTATGTTATGAAACTACTGCAATTTGTAATAATTGTATAAAAAATGTAACCCATTCATGACTGCATATTAGAATGGCACTTGAATTTATTGGGCAATGATATCATTTTTTATTTTGAAATGGGAAAAAAATCAAAAAAATTTCCCCTACTTTGAGTCCATTTAGGTTTTTTCATAGAAAAACAATAAAAAATCAGTCATTTCTATAAGTGTTTTCCTTCTATAAAATGAGCCCAAAGGGAAAATGAGAATACAATAAAAAACTTCGAAAATAGACCCAAAAAATTTTGGGATTTTAATTAAAAAAAAGGTCGGGGTTTATTTTCTCTGATGGTGCGCAGGATTTTTTTTTATTGGTGCACATGACCTACGACCCTTTTCTCACATGTGGGCCTACCCGTTTCTCCTGCTTGATTTTAAGCTGCTAGATTTTTTGGGTTTATACGTCAAAAAAAAGGTGGTCATAAGACTCAGTGGACCCCCCGGGTTTGCGATGCTATCGGTATTTGTAAATCCCGGGAACCCATGCATTTATCGCCAAAAATTTGCCTCGGTTCCCGTTACAAAACCCGGGATGCGATCGATTTGACGAGACGTTCCAGTGTTTACAAGCCCCAGTGTGCGCGCATTAAAGGGTCTTTTGGTACACCTATTATCACTGTTTTTGGTGCTTTTTTCTGAAAAAAAAGTCACCATGGGCCCAAAAAGTTCTGTGCCCAACCTTTCAAGACCAAGGGTGCTAAGATATGAAAAGAAAAAAAGAATAATTGCAAAGTATGAAAGTGGAGTGCAGTATCGGAGCTGGGGAGGTTGTTAGTAAAACCCCCAAACAACCTCCTTTCATAAAGGCAGGGGAAAAGGGAAAACGGAATGTTTTGCAAAAGGTGCAACTGTGATTACGAAACAGCGACCCCAAGTGTTAGAAAAAGTTAGAGACTGTTTTTTGGTGTGGTAAATGAAAAACAGATAGCAAGAGAAGCATCTTTCAAGCGATCATTTGTGAAAAGGCTAGGCAGTTGCATGACGATTTGGTAAAGAAATTGCCTGCAACTAGTGCTGATGTGAGTGAATTTAAGGCCAGCTAAGGTTGGTTTGAAAGATTTAAGAATCGTAGTGGCATACATAGTGTGATTAGGCATGGCGAGGCTGCCAGTTCAGACAACAAAGCGGCTGAAAAATATGTGCACGAATTCAAGGAGTACATAGAGGCTGAAGGATTGAAACATGAACAAGTGTTTAATTGTGGCAAAACAGGCCTGTTTTGGAAGAAATTGCCAAGCAAGACCTACATTACTCAGGAGGAAAAGCTACCTCAAGTCCTAATGGAGGGGGATTCCCCTTCTAAACAATAGGTTCAACACACTCCCCTCCTCCCATCCCATCAATCATCACCAGATCTTCATTAAAGGTAAGTGTCAATTATTCTATTGTTATTATTCTGTTATTGTTGTTATTGTAATTATTCTGTTGCATTAAACTTAATATTTCATGTCGTATAAGTTTTTTTTTCATACTTTTGGGTGTCTTGCAGGGATTAATTTGATTTCCATTATTTTTTATGGGGAAAATTGATTCGCTTTCTGATAATTTTGGTTTACGATGAGCTCTCAGGAACGAATTAATATCGTGAACCGGGGGTCCACTGTATATATATGACCAAAACAGTCAAAGAATTAATCTACATATCTCCTACCCACTCAAGCCTCCTTGCTCATCTGCAATCCTACTCTCTGTCTTAACCTCTAGTTCTTTCAATAATAACCCTACCATACACTTTACCTGGTATACTCAGTAAACTTTTTTTTTTTTTCAATGTACCAGCCGTATCCCACTGAGGTGGGGTGGCCCAAAAGGAAAAACAAAAGTTTCTCCTTTTAAATTTAGTAATATATACAGGAGAAGGGGTTACTAGCCACTTGCTCCCGGCATTTTAGTCGCCTCTTATGATACGCATGGCTTACAGAGGAAGAATTCTATTCCACTTCCCCATGGAGATAAGAGGAAATAAACAAGAACAAGAACTAGAAAGAAAATAGAAGAAAACCCAGAAGAGTATGTATATATTGCTTGTACATGTATGTGTAGTGTGACCTAAGTGTAGGTAGAAGTAGCAAGATGTACCTGAAATCTTGCATGTTCTTGAGACAGAAAAAAGGACACCAGCAATCCTACCATCATGTAAAACAATTACAGGCTTTTGTTTTACACTCACTTGGCAGGATGGTAGTACCTCCCTGGGCAATTGATGTCCACCAACCTACTACCTAGAACTCAGTAAACTTATTCTCCTATAATTTTTACAATCTCTTTTGTTCCCCTTCCCTTTATATGTAGGAAATATGCACACTCTCTGCCAATCCCTAGGTACCTTCCCCTCTTGCATACATTTATTAAACAAAAACATTAGCCACTCCAACACTATATATACCCCTGCTTTTAACATTTCTGTCATGATCCCATCAGTTCCATTTATTACATTTTGCTAACAAAGAGTGTAATTTGTTGTACAGTACTGTACTTTATTTCAGAGGCAACGACGAAGAGAGGCAGCTGCTCTTACTATTCAGTCATGGACCAGGGCAATGTTGAGTCGGAAAAGAACTAAACAAGACCTTCGGCAACAGTTTGACAGTAAATTAGCACTGGCTAAAGTTCGGGGAATATCTGATGCTTCAGCCATCAAATTAGTTGCCTTACTTATTAGAATATTTAATGCCAAAGAAGACTGTGAAAGATTGGTAAATATGCTGTATTGTTTGTAGCACTAAATGGTCCAGGTTTCTCATTATTGCTTTTGTTTTTTATCATATGGTTTATTCCTTAAAATCTAATCATTGTACCTTTTATCTTTAAAAGATCACTATTTTTACTTGCACTCATGCTTTAAAATTCTTTCTGCATTAAGTATTTTACTATTAATTTTGAAGCATGAACAATGATTTCTGGCACTGGTTTTATGAACCATTGCAGGAATCACCACCTATCAGTTATACTCCTATAAGAAAATAACATTCCTACTTCTTAGCTCTATTAGGTGGCCTTTTGCCTTCTCCTTCAAATGGTTTCCTGTTTTCTTCACCTATATAAGCAGGGCCTCTTGGGTAGAATAACAATTTATTACACCATAGACAAGACAGCTGACATGGGAAGGAGGCAGTTTCTGTAGTACATTGAACCTCTCCCAGAAAGATATATTTCATTCCTCAAAACATAGTATACTGGGAATTGGCTCTTATGAACCAGTGCAGAAATTCTACCAACAGTACCAAAAATGAAGGAGGTAATTGTAGTGGGAAGGAAACTATCATTGGTATGATAGAATTAGCACAGTTAGACTATGTACAAGCTGTGGCATTTTTAGATGCAGTCAGTGGCTCTGCTGCAGGTTCTAAGCAAAGTTCTTTCATCTTAAACAATAGGGGTATTATGACCCTTTACTGGGCTGAACAGCCATAGCCATAGCAATTCATGTAAATAGCATTCTTACTAGAATGGTATACCTCCAATCAGTCTTTGGTAAGGAAGGAAAAAGTTATAGTAATCAAAATGTAACAATACCATGACTGGTAGAAGAGTTAGAGGCATTGCATTTCCTTCTAATGAACTTCATAGCATATCAGGAACAGTCCCAGTGTTGTTGTTTCCATTCAAACAAATGGATTCAGAGAACATGTTGAGATTATTACATTTTTGTGTAATAGTGATTGTATTTCAGGGTTGTTGTGTTAGCTATTTATTAGTGCCTCATTGAATACTACCTGGATCTTGTAAGTGTAGTCTTTAGAGAAAGGAGATATTCATTCATGTGCATTTTTTCTTTTTGCCTTGAAAGACATTTGTTGCCAAGGCCTATTTTGGCCTTCAGTAAAGCTGGGTGTCTAACCTAGTTGAACCTTTGGGATTATTAAATTGTCAGTGAGGCTCTTTAGTGCTCAGCAACTTAAGTGTAACCAGTGGCTTATTAATCATCCCACTTTGTATTTGTGTGTAGGTTGATCTAACATGGCCTTGTTTTGGTAATGTAACCACTTTGGGTTTAATAAATGATATCATTGGTAGATTTGTGGCTGCTGATTGAACTGCAGTTACTGCCCAAGAAAAACTTTAGATAGATACATAGAAAACTTAAAATCTTTAACTTACATATGATAAGAGGGTGTTACTGTATTTGTACTGCAGGAAAAGAATGAGTGCATTATTCAAGCCTGAGGAGATCACTTCCCTTTGAAAGTGTCTTATTTCTCTGTAATACATATTAGAAGAACTAGAAGTTATGCATAAGAGAAGGAGCTTTACTAGTCAGTTAGGTGTACAGTATTGTTTTACAACAATACTCACCAATGTGTTATTTGTCCATTTGATCCAGTACTTACTAGGGACTGTACTGTAAGTACTGTCTTTTGTCTTCAGCATTGTAATTTTCTCTATTCCTGGTGAATCCTTTCTACATCTCTAGTTACAACATAGTGGCTATGGGAAAATGGGATTTGCTTAATGTATAATTCATCTAATAAACATTTTCTCCAGTCCTTATCTTGATTATTAATCATGGTTTGAAAAGGACACTTGTGTTCATTTCAGTACATTTATTAAAGGAAACATTTCACCATGAGTGACTTCATTAGTTCTAATAGACAGATGAAGCCACTTGTGGCAAAACGTTTTCTTTAACTTTTTAACTGTGTCCAATATACTAATATGCACAACTTTTTGTGCCTTCAAATCTGCCACCTGCCAATATTTTTGACCTAAACAAAACACTTTGGTCTTCTACAGTCTTTTCATGCCCTTGAAAAATTCTGAGGCCAGAAGGGTCCACACTATGTATCATGGTTAACTACTCAGGCGATGACTCTATGCCCCATGTACTAGTTTGCCTAACTGTCAGAAGTAAATGATGAAATCAAGAGCTGTTGTTCCATCACCAGCTTTCCTACAAGCAAACAGGGTGTGCAAGTGGCACAAAGATGATTTATTCATTCAAAATTTATTACAATTTCCTGACATTTATTAACAGTGGAATTCTGTTGTAAAGCACATTAAGTATAATTAATCCAGGATAACCCAGTGAAGTCAAACAGTTTTAATTACAGTAGACCGTCGAGTAAGATGGTTTCCTTTAAAACGTTTTCTCCATTACACTGTTGTCAAATTGTGGCATATTTTTGTAATGAAGTTGGTAGAATTACCGACAATATGTAAAGTAAAAGGAAACAAGTGCAACTAAACTGACATTTTTATTGTGGCAACGTTTCGCTCTCCAGGAGCTTTATCAAGCTGTTACAAACAGTACATGGACACAGAGGGTATATATAGTGAGGTGCAATACTAGTGGTAGTAATAGTAGTAGTGAGATAAGTGTTAGTAGTAGTAGTAATACAACATGTAGAACAATTGACTCGCACAAGAGTAAAAGGATATAAAAGCTATAACTTGGGTAACATGAAAATAGGTTAGACAGATATTTCTATTGGAGGCTGGATAGAGAAGGCCTGTTTCAATTTAATGTGCTATGTGTATTATTAACAGGAGAGACTATGTGATGGCAGGGTTTACTGTTTTCAGGAGGATTCTTGCTAAGACTTCAGAGATGGTGAAGCTGCCTTTGTTTTGTTTAATTGTATTAGAAACAGCTATTAGTGAAGATTCAAGACACTTGCATTTGCAGAAATTGGCTTCTTTGATCACTAATTGGGCATCCCTGAATTTCATGAGATGATTGGTGGAATTTCGGTGTTGTACACAGGCGTTGTTCAAGTTATCGTTCCTGTATGCGTAAATGTGTTCATTGAGGCGGGTGTCGAGGTTTCTTGCTGTTTCACCTTCATAAATCTTGTCACAGCCTCCACAGGGTATAGTGTAAACCCCTCCGTTGACTGGTTCATGGTGCTTGGATTTTGTTCTGGTTAGATCCTTTATTGAAGTGCTGGAAGCGATGGCGACTCTGGTGTTAGCTTGTGAAAGTACTTTAGAAACATTCAGTGTAACCTGGCTGTTGAGAAGAATTATAACTTTGTTAGGAGTGGTGTTGGTGCGTGGAGAATTAATGATCCGAAGAGCTCTTTTCTTGCAATCTTTGATGAAAAAGGAAGGAAAATGTAAATCAGTGAAGGTTTGGTGAATGTATGTACATTCCTCATCAAGAAACTCAGGAATACAAATTCTGTATGCTCTCAGGAAAAATCCGATGATGATGCCTCTTTTGGTCCTAGTATCTTGACTGGAATAGAAGTGTGTGAGATCATTTTTATTGGTAGGTTTCCGATAAATTTGAAATCTTAGGTTGTTGTCTACTTTGTGAATGAGGACGTCTAGGAAAGGTAGCTTGTCATTGGACTCTTCTTCTAGTGTAAACTGGATCACCGGTTCAACTGCGTTGAGCCTTGCCTGTTTTGATGTACGGAATCTTCACATTTGCGCATTCAGGAACGATAACTTGAACAACGCCTGTGTACAACACCGAAATTCCACCAATCATCTCATGAAATTCAGGGACGCCCAATTAGTGATCAAAGAAGCCAATTTCTGCAAATGCAAGTGTCTTGAATCTTCACTAATAGCTGTTTCTAATACAATTAACCCTTTGACTGTCGCAACCCCCAATCCTGAGGTGTCTCCTGGTGTCGCAAAATTTAAAAAAAAAAAAATTATTTTTTCTTATGAAATGATAGAGAATCTTTTCCCGATTGTAATGACACCAAAAAAACGAAATTTGATGGAAAACTGACGGAATTATGCTCTCGCGAAGTTAGCGACCTCGGCGCTGTTTACAAAGCGGCGATTTCGCCCACTTTGAGCCCTATTTTCGGCTAATTCCATTGTTCCAGTCGCCCAAACTCATAGCTATTTCTTTAGAACTTCATTTTTTCTATCGATTGAATACAAGAAACTGCCCATTTACTGATTTCAACTACCTAATAATGTGGTCAGAAATTTGCAATTTGGCCAATTTCACGAAAACTAAAAAATATGACAATTTCAAAATAAGGTCCAGAATGAACAATGCAGACATTCCTGGCTCTAAAATAACATTTTCTTTGTTCATCAGTCACGTCTCCAGGCCCTTCTGATATTACTCTTGCTTTCTATTTTGAATTTTTATTCAAACAAAAAATATTAGACTTACTATTATGCAGACTACTGCAATGCTGTAATAACTGTATAAATAACATCAACCCATTCATGACTGCATATTAGAATGGCTAGTTGGACATTTATTGGACAATGGCATCATTTGTTTACTTTTGAACATTGGCAAAAATCAAACATTTCCCCTACTTTGAGCTCCATTTCTAGGTTCTTTTTATAGTAAAATCAATCAAAATCACCTCTATTTCTGTAATATGTTTTCCATTCTATCAAATGAGACCAAGAAAACGAGAATACAACCATAAATACTATACGAAAATAGACCACAAAGTCGGCATTTTAATTAAAAAAAACGGTCGGAGTTTTTTTTTTCTCATTATGCACTGCATGCTCCAGGATTTTTTTTATATGGTGCACACTGACCACACAGACCCATTCTCTCACATGTGGGCCTACCAGCTTTCTCCTGCTTGATTTGAAGCCGCTAGAATTTATGAGTATATATACGTCAAACACGGCACCTCGTAAAACGTATATATACGGCCGCGACAGTCAAAGGGTTAAACAAAACAAAGGCAGCTTCACCATTTCTGAAGTCTTAGCAAGAATCCTCCTGAAAACAGTAAACCCTGCCATCACATAGTCTCTC